AATAACATTATATATATATATAACATTAATAATATATATATTTAAAAATAAAATAAATTTATGAATTTTTTGTAAAAAGAAAAAAATGTATAAGCAATTACCTCATCCTGACTTGGATATAAAGCAAATATTGCATCTTGTCTATTTTCTAATCTATGAGTTGCATTTGTTCTATCTAATTCTTCAGCAGGAATATGATCTAACAAGGAAGGGATTAATTGATCTGCTTGAGAATTTCGAAGATCAAATACGCTGCTTGCCCAACTACCCCTGGGAGTATCATTTAAATGAAGTGATTGTCGATTGGATGGAGGAGTTGATGAATCCTTTAAAATTAATATATTTAATTATTTTTTATTTTCTAATTATTTAACCATTATAATTTATTTTAAAAATTTAAAATCATATAAATTGATAATCAGTCAATAAGTAATTACTTATTAATTAAATTTAAATTAACAACCTTATTCTTTTTATAAAAATCATTACCTATCTAATTTAATTGAAATATTTTCATATTTATATGCTATCCCCATATAACACAATTTCACTCCAACACAATTAGAGAATTCCAGTAAATCTCATATAAAATGATACTTTTGAGCTTATTTGCAAGGATGTAATGTTTTTATCATCCAAAATCTTAGCTTCATAAATCCTTTTGTAAATCTTAACTAATGTTAAGATATCTACCATTAAAACTCATTACATTAGAAAATCATTATAACTGATTTTAGAAAAAAATCTAGTAACGAGTTGTTTAACTTTCCCCAGCAACGTTTCGTGGTACCATCTGTCATCATATTTTATTAAATAGCTTTTTATCTTTTTTAACTATTATAAAATGACAAAAAGCTTAATTTTCAGGGTAGGGTTGGTTTTATAAAAAACTGTAGATGCTAATAACAAGTAAAATCATCATTAAGTCTGACTCTACTAGAGATACAAAACTCCCTTTATCTCCCCATCCCCTTGACCTTTAATCACCAAAATTTAATAGCATCAATCCCCTAGTAAACAAATCTCCCTGCAAAATTTCAGAATTCACAGGAGTTATTACGCTTCAAAGAGGGCGAACAAAATCATGCCACCTCCCCACACACACACAGAAACATCATATATACAGAAAAAAAACCTGAAATTTTGCATCTCTCAACATTTCAGAGTCCTGAGTCCAAAACTGTAAAAATCTTGAAGGGGATCATTTTTTGACTGCTTTCCATGCTTGTTATATATAACAGCCAAGAAAGTAAAAACTGATTATGAATCTATTGAAGTGATTGAGACATAGGAACATCTTTCAAATAGAGATTAATCAAAATAGAAAGGAAAAAATTTTTATCAACAGATTTTGAACAGTAAAAGATTTAAAATAACATTTTTAAAATTAAAAATGCTAGTTCAGGAGTCGCCAAAGTGGTCGATATTGACCCCTAGGGGTCGATGCAACATCATTGGGGGTCGATTAGGGGGTCGATGCGGCTAAGGGGTCACAACCTTTTTTTTTTCTTTTGCTTAGATGAGACCACAATGTTTTTTTTTTCGCTCATATACATACACTTGTAATAAAACTTTACGGTGGGGGTCAATGTGAGGCTTTGGAAAGTGATTGGGGGTCGACAGTTAAAAAAGTTTGGCAACCCCTGTGCTAATCAATCTTTTTTTTTTTTTTATTCCTTAAGTTCAATTTTGTTTCTTGTATATACCTCAGTTGCTGACTACAATAAAGAAATTTATGTAGTTGACTTCCATTACAGAAAAAAACTACAGAAATACTACATAATAGAAAGCTACTACAAAATGACAAATAGTAATAGTAGCAGTAGTAGTAGCTCCTCTAATGCTAAGTAGCATACCAGGCAGCAATTATCTTCCATCAATCTCGATCATGGGCAAGGACTTCAGTTTCTTCCCACATCATATTGAGCATCTTCAGATCTTGAAGAAAAGTTCTACACCAAATATTCCTGGGGTATCCTCATTGTCATTTGGCACCAGGAGGAACCCATTTCATGATTGTCTTACGGAACCCTATCTTCTCCATACAAAAAGTGTGGCCGGCTAATCAAACTCTTCTATGGGCAACAATGCTATGACGTTTGCACATCCCACTCCTTCGGAGAACCTCTTCATTGGTGATATAATCTAAATATCGAATCTTTAAGATTTGTCGTAAACATCTCTGTTGGAAGATATCGAGTCTTCTATTGATGTTTTCCGATGTCTTCCAGGACTCACTAGCATACACAGCTATCGGAATCACAATGGAGGTGAACAGGTGGAATTTGGTTCTCAATGAGATGGATGGTGAGGACCAGATCTGGTTCATCTGCCAGAAAATGGTCACTGCCTTTCTGATGCGACACTTCATGTCCACTTCCATGTCACCCAAGTAGGTAAAACTCACCACTTCCTCCAATCATTGTACTCCAACAATTACTCTCTGCATTTGTGCGATGTTACTTACATGCATAATTTTCGACTTCATGGCATTTATCCTAAGGCCAATTTTATGTGCCTCCCGACCCAATGTGGTCATGGTGTGCATTAGCATTGTCCTACTTTCCTCTAATAGGGTTAAATCGTCAGCAAAAACCAAATCTCCAAGACGATCCTGGTCCCAACATGTGAACTGGTTTCTTCTGCACGTTGCATGACAATCAAGGGTAATGAAGAGAAAAGGAGACAAGACACAACCTTGCCTGACTCCTGTCAAAATTTCAAAGAAGTCTGTATGACTATCTTCAGTCTTGATGCAACAACTTGAATGCAGGTATAAGGCCTTGAAAATGGTGACAAAATTTGCTGGTACACCACATAGTTGCAGGATCTGCCAGAGGGACTTGTGGTGGACACTGTCAAAAAGCCTTCTAGAAATCAATAAAATTGATGGACAATATATGCTGATACTCAATTTATTGTTCGATTATATTTCAAAGGGAGAAGATCTGCTCTCTACACAATCTTCCACAGCAAAATCCAGCTTGCCCCTCCTGCAAGCACTGATCGAGGGCAATCTGCAAGTGTCAGAAGACCACACAAAATGCCTTTCCAGGCACAGAAAGGAGCGTTATGACTCACCAGTTGGTATATTCGAAGATATCTCCCCTCTTAGGAATTCTGACTATAGCACCCTTCTCCAAACCTCTGAGACTTTCCCACACTGCTACCACCTGTAAACAATAACATGGGTTGCCCCTCCATGCTTCAAAATCTCAGCCATAATTTTGTCCAGATCAGCTGCCTTATTATTCTTCAGGCTTTTAAATTGCAAGCTCCACTTCCTCAAGGATAATAGTGCCAGTGTCCACCTGAAGCTCATTCTGTGTATCCTCAATATCGAAATCGTATGTGATGGTTGGTTCCGCTTGATTAAATGTTTCCCGAAAATGTTCCATTCACCTGTTGTTATGCTCATCTTGAGTGATCAGAAGCTTCCCGTTTTTGTCTTTTATTGGAACACTGGAATTACTCATTGTCCCAGTCAATTCATTGACTATACAGTACAGGATCTTGGAGTCATTCCAGTCAGAAGCCTCCTGCATTTCAGAACCCTTTCATTCTAACCATTCCTTCCTGTCTTTCTGACAACTTTTCTTTACATGTTTATCCAACTCGGTGTATCTTTGGTTTCCTTCCTCCATCTCAGCCATTTCTTTAGCCTGGTCCCTTTTAAGTTTTGCGGCTTTCCTCTCATTGATCAACTTCCACGAACAATCTTTTTGTCTTCCTTGACGTCTTCCAATGATGTTTTGGGTGCACTCCATGGTAATGTCTCTGAGGTTCTCCCAGAGATCTTCTATATCTGTCATCTCTCCAAGAAGGGTGAAGCAACTGTGCAACTCCAGAGTAAATGTTTCAGCAATGGTTGGATCATTTAATTTTTCTATCGCAAATGGTCTTTTTAGCATGAGTTGTCTTTGATTACAAAGTTTGAGCTTAATATCTGCCCTAACTAGATAATGGTCAGATCCAATATCTGCACTTCTGTAAACCCTTACATCGTGCAGTGATGACCTCCACTTTTTACTAATACAAATAAAATCTATCTCATTAAAAGTGCACGTGTCTGGTGACTGCCAGGTCTTTTTATGGATAAGCCGATGTTGGAAGTACATGTTCCCAACACATAGCTCATTGTGTTCACAAAATGATGTTAGCCTTTCTCCATTATCACTCATATGAGCAGAGATGCATGAGCACCAATCACAGTCTCGAGTTCTCGACAATCACCGCTTAATTGGGCATTGAAGTCCCTGATCAGAACCATTAGGTCATGATTCAGGATACCATCAAAGACATGATGGAGTTGCTCATAAAATTCATCTTTTATTGTGTCTTTTATATTGTTGGTTAGCGCATAAACATGCACCACAGTTGCTTTGGCGTGTCCATGAATGAAGCGAGCTCTAATAATCCAATCGCTGAAGGGCTTCCATCCAAGGAGTGCTTTCGTTGCTCGTTTACTCAGAATAGGACCTACTCCACGCTTGCGTTGCTCTTCTTGGCCTGCATACAATATGGTCTTGCCTTCATTACTGATTTGGCCATTTGTCTTCCATCTAACCTCACTGACACCAAGGATGTCCAACTGATTTTCATCAAATGTCTGCAATAGCTGAGTGAGCCTTCCACTCTGATATAGTGTGTGCACATTCCACGTTCCAATTTCATAATATTTCTGGTGGAAAAGATTGTTTCTGACATCAGACATTGGACACCGTTGCCGGTTTCCTCTGACTCTGTCATATTACCTGGAGCTGAACTTCTGCTCATTCAATCAAAATTTCTGTTTATTCTTGCTGTTTCCATATAGCACTTGTAGTTTTTACAGGGATGGGTTGCTAATCCGATGCCCAAATTTTACATATACTCCAGTAAAATTTATTGAAAAATCCTGAACAATTTTCAAAAAAAAATAATAAATAAAAAATGACAAATACTTTAATTAAAAGCAAAATCACTGAACAACAAATGTTTATTATAAATCATTTAACTCATAAATACATACTATATGTAATCACCAAAAATCTTGAATCTCAAAGAAAAATATAAAAAATAGAATAGTTTTCAGATGATATTTGTCAAGTTGACTAAATTGAATGCTGAAGACACACTAGATTGAATTTTGCAACAGTGTGCAGAAGTTGTTGAATTTTGAGCTTCAGATTTTTTGTATGTAAAAATAAAAATTCAATAAAATTTATGTAAAAAATTACAAAAGCAATATCATCCTGTAACAATCAGTTAAAAATTCAGGATAAGGGTATACAGTACTAAATTAAAACTGTCCCTTAATAGTATCAGAATAATTGACCACTCTGTTTCAGATAGAAAAAATTCTAAATAACTTAAAGAATTTTTATTACCTTATTCATTTTTTATTAATGCTAATAGTATGTAAGCTTAATTATAATTCAAAAATTAATAAAATTAATTCATTAATCACTGGAAAACTTATTACTTTACACACAAATATATTTTACAATAAGAATAATAAAATTCAACAACTAATAAAATAAAAAAATAAAATGTATTTTTGTTTTAAACTTGATTTTTTTTTGGTCAAAATATAATAATTAAAAACTTTTCTGTATTTATAAAAAGTCACTTTAAATACTAAAAAATAATGTAATTTTCTTACGGAAGTATCTTCATCTTCAGCTAATGGAGGCTGAATGGAAATCTGTTCATCATCTTTATGACTTTGATTATCTTCTTCAAGATCTATTTCAAATTCCTGTTTTGGTGTTGATCTAACAATAGTTCCCTTTTCTAAGCATCTATCTCGAATGCAACAACTAGAACTATATTGCTGATACCTAGAAAGATAAAAACATTAACAATAGTTTTCAAGTTTTAAGTATTTCCATTATTTCTATAAAAACGTTATATTTTCTAAAAATCATCTCTTGTTTCATTTGCTCACTCATAAAAATTCAAATTATGTCTTAAAACTTTAACTATTAATTTATCAATGAGACCGTTTTTTTAAAAATTATGATGAAAAAATATTGTCAAAATTAAACTTTCATTTTTAAATATAAATGCGATAAATTTTACTTACGTATAATTTTAAATTAAATTTATAAGTCTTAATGAAAATACCAATTTTCTTAGAATTAAATGATTAATTGGTCTATAACAACATATTAAAGCAATTTTATCCATTAAGGCAGGTTTCACCAACAATTGAGACTGCCACCATAAGGGAATAGAAACAATAATTCATACTACACTATCCATTATAAAAGTCAGGATAGGAAATAAATCTGTATCTATAATGATGATATGTTGATATCTTACCATTAGACCAGCCAATTACAGAATTAAATATTTTTTGAAATCATTACTAAAGTATTAAAATTTTTGGAAAAATTTTAAAAAATACAACAAGATAACAAGCATAACACTAACACAAATAAAAATGAAATATTTTTATAAGTTTTGATAAAAATAGGATAAAAACAATAAATTGCATATAAATTTAGTGATAATCCAATTTTATTAATAAACTAAAGTTACTTTATGAATTAAAAACAAAAATAGATTAATAAACAATTTGGTTTTTGCAACTAAACTTTCTGCAGACAAATAAAATTCTAAAATTACAATATGTAGTAAATGTAGAGGATTCAAGAATGAATTGACACATTTCAATGTTTGTTTGTTTAGTTATGGCAACACAACATTTGGCAATCTGCCTAGTGAATGTCTTTCGGGAGGTCTTTTTGAGGGAAATGGCCCCTATTTAGGCATTACAGACATGGAAAAAACCCAGAAAACTCCACGTGGCCAGCCCGTCTGAGCGAGGCGCGAACCCACAACCAAACTCCCAGTGTTCGGGGAACAAAGATCGCTTGGCCACTGGTGAGCCGACACATTTCAAAATAATTTTATTGAAAAATGAATAAAACTATGAAAATGCAGTATTCATCATCTAGAAAGGCAACTAAGAAAAAAATCTTCTCCACTTTTCAACATTTTAATACATTTAAATCTTTATTACTCAAGCATTGCACTAACAAGGGAACTGTCGGAATGTCTTCTAATAAATTTTAATTAAATTTAGTTAATAACTACGTTAAAAGTATACAAACTCTATTTCAAATTTGCAGCATTCACTAAAAGTGTTGATCAGAGTTATTAGCAATCAAACGTTGCACTACTTTATAGTTGTTTAACACAATTATGCAAATTTTTAGAAGTGGAAGGGTCGCGGAAGAAGACGGCGATATTACATTTAGAATAAATTCTGGAATTTTCAAAAATGGGAGAAGAATTAATAAAATTTAGTTAATAATTATGTTAAAAGTATACAAAATTTTATTAATTCTTTTCCCATTTTTGAAAATTCAAGAATTTATTCTAAATGTAATATCGCCGTCTTCTTCCGCGACCCTTCCACTTCTAAAAGTTTGCATAATTGTGTTAAACAACTATAAAGTAGTGCAACGTTTGATTGCTAATAACTCTGAACAACACCAGTAAAAAGAGACAAAAGATGTTTGCATTATTTTTGGACATAGAAAAAGCTTATGATTCAATTAATATATCGATTGCACAAAGGAAAATGTCTAAATATCGAACAGATAAAAACTTGTAAGTATCATGGGTCTACTGTTTGGCCATTATAAAGTACTTATTAAACAGGAATCGATTCTATGGTCATCTTTTCAAACACACTATGGTCTTTTACAAGGTGATCCTAGGTCATCATACTTGTTTAACTTTCATATTTTTGATTATAATTATTGTTTTGAGAGACACGAAGATGGTTTCTTAATTGATAAGCAGATTATACATTCACCTTCATGTGTAGATGATTAGTATTGATTGCACCAATGGCAGTTGTATTACAAAACATATGTCAGCCATGCAGAATTTTTGTGAAGAACTAGGGTTAAAATTAATCCTAATAAATCATATGTAATGGTATTTCGTAATGGAGGCAGACTTTCTAAGAAATATATGTCATTTTTTATTAAGGAACAAGAACTGAAAGTTGTTTGAGATTAAATTCTTAGGGGTTACATTAATCCCTACTCTATCTTTTAAGAAACAGTATAAAATATGTATATGGAAATCTAATACATTGATCATAAATATGCTTAAATTATTTAGATAACTAAAACTGAGAGACCTCACCATACAGTTTAAAATGTTTAATTTTATTATAATGAGTTCTGCAGGTTATGCTTCACTGATCTGTTGTTTATCTAAATATCAAAGTTTAGAAGCAATACAAAATAAGTTTATTTGGAAGATGTTTTCATTAGAATATAACATATCTGATAGAACTCTTAGATTAGAGCTAAATACATTTAGATTGTGTCCATTCTGTATAAAGAGAATAATCAACTTTTTAAAAAAAATAAGAGATAATGAATTGTCACCTTCAACTTTTATTAAAAATATTACATAAAAATATGCAAAAAAGCTCTAGTAAAAACAATTGAATGAATCAGTTTTCTTCTATGTTGAACAGATATGGATTTTCCGTAGGACCATTCATAGAAATGAAATGAGTGATATCCTTTGAGTTTCCAATTAATTCAGAATGCTTTTGAGATATCTTTGGTGCAAGACATAGAAGAACTTAGAGATAAAAAATCATAAATGGTACAGTGTCATCTTAAATTATCCACAAATTATTAATTATTTATTTTTCAATCTGCCATTCAATATTAAAAAAATGTTTCATACAGTTGAGATTAAATAAAGATTTTGTTATATTGAATAAGAGTTCATTTGATTTATCTAATGAAAATTGTCATAGATGTAACAAGTTCAAAATTCCATGTTTTTTGTTTATGTAAAGATGGACACGAGTTACAATGTAGATATCACATGTTAAAATTAGAAAACATTAAAGATGAGAAGAATCTATATGTATTCTTTCACAGAGTTGATGTAAAGATAATATTTAATTTATACTGTACAATTATTTTCAAAAGTTTATTGTATGAGATTATATGATTCTCCTTGTGTTAAAAAAAACATAAAAGATATATTGTAATATAAAGAATTTAAATATAGTTGCAGATATTGTAATAATAATAGAATTTATTTCAGTTTGTATTGACAATACAGTTTCTGATCATCTTTAATTGTATTAGAATATTGCAGCCTTATGTTTGATGTTTAAGTTTAATGTTTTGTATTTATAATTACTTTAAAAGGTCTGATATAGTGATAGCGTTATAATAAAACAAACCAACATTGTTGTACTTCCTCCAAAGTAATGGGAAAATTATTCCTTATACAATAATAGTTATTTGAATTTGAATACGCATGCATTGCCTATTTGGTAAATTCCTAGAAAACATTACCAAAAACTGCAGAAACAGTCTTCAGAACTCTGTAATTAAATGATACATTAAAATTTATTTAATGTTCAATGAAGATAAAATTTCATTGGCACCAAATCTCACATGTGTGATAATATTTTATAGAAATAAGAATACTAAAAGGATATCGGTGATATTATTTAAGCAACAAAGGGGACTCAAGAAGAGGTGTATCAGAATGTTTAAAAACAAAAAAGTATTTTGAGTTGCAGTTTCATGTGAGGGAAACTGAATTTATGATTTTGATTAGTTTCTTTAAAAAACAAAACATTTGAAATGGTTTCTTTCACAAATATATTTTATCATTTTAATCAAAATTGAATTTTTCATTGCCAAAAATCACACTCTATTTGCTATGAAAAATATTCATATTTTAATAGATTAAATATAAAGTTAATATACTGTTGAAATGTATTAGTTTTAATGTTCAATTTAAAGATAACAAATAATCATAATATTAAACAGTATAAAACAAATATAAAAAATGTATAATTTGAAATTTGAAAAGTTATCAGATATTTTTATATTTACATCAGTAGAGTCTGAAATAAATATAAAAGCATCAAATGATGTTATATATTAAAAATTAAATCATAATATGTATTAAAAATATAAATGATAAATTATAAAAATATAAATCATTAAACATACCTTCTATTTACAACAACCCAATCAGAAGTATAACAACGCACACAATCTCCCACATAAGGATCAAGATCAGAACCACTGAAAATACAATTATAAGTATTATTTTTATTTGATATATATATAATTAGTTTAAATATTTTATTTACATAATGGAATAAATATCAAAATTAATTTCTTTTAATTCCAATTAAAGAATCAATAGGAACATATATGATATTTAAATTCAGCAAGATTCTACTAATTCTAACTATGTAAAAATAAAATTTACTAAAAGTATTTTTGTCTTATATATAGTGAAAACTTCATCAGCTGAATACATAAAAATTTTAAAAAGTTCAATCATCATCTTATTTTGAGTACATTTGAAAATTTATTATAATAAATAAAATTATTTGCAAAACAAAAAACTTTTTAAAATAATAATTTTCTATACAAATATACACAACTGAAACCTGATATATTAAGCAAATATACACCCACAACTGCCATAAATGATCAGGCTAAATTTGGATATAATGATTATAAATTAGAAATGATTTTGGCACTAGAGTGAGGCGTTAGGTGCCATCTCGTATTAAAATTAATAATTATAATATTTAATTAATTAATTCAGATTAAACTGGAAGAAAAGAATTGACCCGAAGCGGGACTCAAACCCGCAACTCCTGCTTATCATGTGGACGTGTTGCCAGTTATGCTACCCAGACCTTCGGTCCAATCTCCTCTTCCAGTATATATAAGTTTAAGATATAATCATCAACGGTTATACCTTAAACTTAGTACCAGTATGCATTGTAATAACTGTTGATGGTATATATCTTAAACTTATATATACTGGAAGAGGAGATCGGACCGAAGGTCTGGGTAGCATAACTGGCAACGCGTCCACATGATAAGCAGGAGTTGCGGGTTTGAGTCCCACTTCAGGTCAATTCTTTTCTTCCAGTTTAATCTGAATTAATTAATTAAATATTATAATTATTAATTTTAATATGAGATGGCACCTAACGCCTCACTCTAGTGCTAAAATCATTTCTAATTTATAATCATTATATCCAAATTTAGCCTGATCATTTACAACAGTTGTGGGTGTATAATAATTTTCCATAAATACATTTTTCAGAAAAACAGAAATGTAATCTATGGCAAAGTGAAAATTTATTTTAAAGTATTATTTTGTATCTCAGAAAGTAGCAAAAATATCACACATGAGTGACTATTAAATTAATCACACATGGGTGACTATTAAATTAATCACACATGAGTGAATATTAAATTAATCACACGAGGAATATTAAATTAATGATTAATTTAAATGTTAACACCAAATTAACTTTCAGGTTATAACTTGGTTAATTAATTTCTTAACTATTATGTTTATGGATGTCTACGTCAGTGTTTTTCAACCTGTGGGTCACGACCCCCAGGGGGTCACGGGTAAAAGAAAAAGATAAGTGTTTGTAGGTCCTACACTACAATAAAAAAACTACAATTTCAGTAAGAAGGCTGTGCCTGTTTATTTTACAGTACAATTAGTTTTTTGATCAATATTTAAATCTCAACAAAAAGAAAATTAAATACGTAGTTTTTAAAATCACTGACATAGTTTTAATATGGCCGTGGGGGTCGCCAGAATTTTTTAACTTTTAAAGAGATCGCATATTCAAGAAGGTTGAAAAACACTGGTCTACATGACTATTCATTTTTCCAGATTTTTTTACTACCAGTCCACTGTTTTTATTCACAAAAATAATAATAATAATAATATTTAATTATATGAAATACGTTTGAGGTAATATGGCTGTTACATGAACAATGGAGGAATTTTAAATCATTCCTTACAACACTTTGATACATGTCAATTCTTTTATAATGTAAGTTTTTACAATACATTTGTTAAATTTGTTATTTGAAATAGCAAACTTTTCAATTTTATTTATTTTTATTCTAAAAAATTAAATTAAAGTTATATAGTTAATTATTTGATATTGTGGGAACTGACTAAATTATTTGATATTGTGGGAACTGACTACTATATGTAGGCTTAATCTTCTTCCCATGTAACTAATCAGTTCTTTAAACTCTATTTAATATTATTTTCCATTATGTTTCTTAGTTTAATTTTATCTGTTATATTCAGAACTAAATGATGTATCAATATACTAAGTCAAGGACTGTCTGTTTTATTACAGAATAAAATGTTAAACTAATTTAGATTTAGGCATCAACTATTACCTGTAAAAATATTTTCAATAATAATAAAATTTTACATGTTTTGCTGATGAAATATGAAATATTTAATAAATTAATCACAAATTTGACATTAAAAATGAAACTTTATGGTATGAGATCATTTGCTTATTTGCTAAATATTGACTAGTAAACAAGTTTCATTTATATTTCTTTCTTCCATAATTGACAAGACTATGTCTTGTTTATAAAATCGTACTGCTGGTTTTTGTTACCAGCATATAGGTATGAAGGAGTACATGTCGAGAGTTGATATTTGGCACAGAGTATTAGGTGCCCAAATCATTTGCGCATAAAAAAATCTAGACTCGTAGGTAGTCAGGGGACTGAGAATCGAATCAAAATAAAATACAAAATGACAACCCTCTTCTACAAACAGGCAAAACAGCCACCTCACCCCACAGAAGTCAGATAGAGTACCACCCACAGTCATTCTAAGAAGTGAACTCTGACCTTAGGACTGAACACGTAGTTTCTTCTAGGTTAAATAAAATTTGTAATCTAATTTCGTAAATTTGGGAGTGCTTCAAATATGACGTTAAAACGGTTTTATGTCGTTACACTGGGTTTTTTTAACATTATCTAGTATAGTAAAATCGTAGGACTGATAAAAATTTGATGTTATATTAGGGTTGTTGTTACATTCGATGACATTATAATCAGGTTAAACTGTATATTGTTTTTGCAAAATAAAAACATAATTTTGAACGATACAATAGCCATGATTATTTTTCCAAAAATGGGAACTTTTCGTTACGCATCGACAAAAATTCAACCCGAGCCGACACGCAACAGAGAGAAATTTTGAAATTAGATAAGTAGTTAATTTCATCAAAGATGCATTGTGGACAATCTCGTGGTCGTGGCCAGCAAAGTTTGAACGATCGTGCCCAAAAGCAGTGATATCAAAGAAGATAGGAGAATGAGAACGAGACCTGCCTTGAGCAGCAAAGTGATTCCATCTCCGAGACATAGTCTTGTCCCAAATACAGTTTTGCCATTTTACTTGTTATAATATAAAATGCTATGCACAGTCAACTGTTCGATATGATTTAGATCTTAAATAGTTAAAAAGACCAAGTAAACTCAATACTTTGGGAATATTAGTTCATTAAAGAGTTTGAGGATAAAAGTACTTAAAAATTTTTTCCGCAGTCCTTAAGAGTCCTTAAAAATATTTAATTTTTAAGGGAGGAAAGAAGTGGGAACTATATTAATATATTACATCAGTGGTTCAGAAACTTTGAAAGGTTGCAGACCCTTTTATAAAAGATATACTTTGGCAGATCCCTGTTTTCTGCTAACTTTTAGTCATTAATTAATAAACTATAATTATAAGCATTGAGGCATCTTATATTATTTTTTGACTGTTTTTGATTGCATTAATTTGAAAAGTTTTGTTAAAATAACAGAATTAATAAATTATAATATTTAATAAAAAGAACTAATTTTTTTATTTTTCAAAAGTCATTAAAATATAACATTTAAATATATAATGTACAAATTTATCACATATCATTTAAATAATATTTTTAAATATTTGCTAAGTTATAAAATAAAAGCATTTTTAGAAAACAATCCTGCAGATCTGACAAGTATCTTTTGGATCCCCAGGGGCCCATAGGCCAGTTTCAAAACCACTGTATTACAAATATGAAAAATTTCTAAATGAATATAGAATATAGAATTCTAATAAAAAAAATTTAACTCATAATAGAAAGAAAAAGAATTGAAATTATTACATATACATTCAATTTTATGTTACATACATACATAATTATTTTAAGATCTTAATCACAAAAAGTTCTGAATATTAAGATAACAGACAATACAAATAATTAATAATAATAAAATCAAATTGATTTACTCTTCATTTTCAGGTACTATTGGTCCTACAGTACGAATTTTTCTTGGAACTATACCCACTTCAATATCATCAGGTGGAAATTCTAATAAATGATGAATAGGATCACGGTCTGCTTGATCCTGATGTTGATTCAAGAAGTCTTCAAAATCCAATGGATCAACAACATCACATAATGGAATCTATTGAAATAATTTTGAAATTTAAAAAGTTATCTTTATGCATAAATAAAAAACTCAATGTATTAAAACTATTACTATAATCCTAAAAATAATTTGTAAATCGCAAAGCATTAGAAAGATAAAACTAATAAACAATACAACTTTAATATAATTGTTGCTTCTTTATCTTTGTAATCTTTTAAAATTAACAAAACTGCTATTTCATTATCTAAACACAAATATATGAGCCATTTTCTTTGAAAGTGGTGTAAGTCCATTTTATATTATATGGAGATATTTAAGGGTTTGCATTTGAATGGTTTGAAAAATATTGGTATATGTTAATATGCTCATTTTATGTTTTTTAAATATTAAATTGATTTAAGTTTATAATGTGATTGTTTTTAAAGTATTAGTTAAAAGAAATTTATACTTTTAATTACCTCAAACAGACTTACACCACTTTCAAAGTCAACAAAATGTGAAAATCATGCATTTATGAAATATTAAATATGGGATTTCAATTGAATCAAACCAAATTTTTTATGAAATTTTTATTAAATATGTCAAAAAAACAAAATAAAAAGACTTTATTTCAATATTTCTTCAGGTAATGCCATTTTAATTACTTTAATTACAACTTTATATTAATATGTGCCATTTTTAATTTTTATCATTATGAGGAAGTTTTTGAAATAGTCATGATGTATTGAAGGAATATAAGGTAAAGGTAATAGATCCATCATATTGTTGAATTTTTCGGATGTGATGGACCTGGTATGATGATATAAAGGATGATATAAAGTATGATGTCCATGTTGACAAAATATATTATTATATATTTTGTAAACATGGACATTTATCATTAACAGGAAATTATACTGGTGTTAAGCATTTACACAAGAATCGAGGAAAAGTTCTTAAAGAAAACAGACTTTCTTTATTAAGCTACCTGTACAATTTTAATGATGATAACATGACAGGTAGCTTAATAAAGAAAGTCTGTTTTCTGTAAGAACTTTTTCCTCGATTCTTGTGTAAATGCTTAACACCAGTATAATTGTCCTGTTAATGATAAATGTCCACGTTGACAAAATATATAATAAGAAATTAAATAAGGACGGTAAGGCAATAATAAATATGTGCTAGTATTATATTTTCAAATTTTTGTGGTCTTCCTCATCTGGGGGATAAATCTAGTGTTTTAAACTCTAGTAAATCTAGTGTTTAAAATGAAATTTTATACAGAATTGTATATGGTTTGTTTTTTAAAACTCTTATCCAACATATCTTCAGCCAATTTACCTCTTCACCAGTAGTATTTTTTTGTCATCTTAGAATTGCATTTTCTAGTGGTTTCGTCGAAACAAAATCATCTTGTTTCATTTCATGTAAAATAAACTTTTTATGTTTTCGGCATTGTTGTATGATGGTATAATAATCTGTAGGAATATACAGTAAATTTTTTTATGGATGTCCCGATAGTTCCAAAATCAGCATCATTTGATAGATAAGAATGTCCAGAATATACAAATTTATGATCAATAGATTCTATAGTATTTTGGGAGGACTGCACAACTTTAAGCGACATTAAAGCCAATTTTAAATTCCTATTTTGTCCAGTACACATATCGCTGTAGGCTATTACATGTTGTTGCATGGTTACATTTTCCAAATGCTTCAAACAACACGAAGCAATTTCTTGGACACTTCTAGATGCAATAGTTTCATCCCATGTATACATACTAACGTTATCATCAAGAAAATTGTGAAATCCATCATTGAAAACATACATATTACATTTATAATATGCAATGGACACTAACAACTTTGGGTAGGGTAATGCCTTCCAGGGCTATGAGGTAGATTTTCTCAGTATGATGCAAGTCTTCAAAATGCCTCCCCTTAAATCTTTTTTCTTTAAAATAACCTTTGATTGTGATTTTTTTAAAACTGCACAAAATGTACAAATACTATTTTTATTTTGAAAATATAAATTACAGTGGGTGATCAGTTAACGAACATAATCCGTTCCAAGTCTTTGTTCGCTATCCGAATTGTTCGTTAACCGATTATCGATTTACCATAGGTTTTAATGGGAATTTAATTAATTCGTTCTGGAGACCCCCAAAAATAAAAAAATATATATTTTCTTACTACGTTTATTTATATGTAATAATAAAAATACATACATACACAGTCTTGCATTTTTATTAGTCATGTTTTTTCCGTTTGAAAGGGTTAAAGAATCTGTCTAATGTCGATTGCTTTTCTCTCTTCTTCAGGATTTTTCGTAAGTAATTAATAGCATTGCAATTGTAGAAATCCCCAAGCCTCAACCTGGTTTGGATGCCATTCTAAGACCGTTGTTCTGACATCCTCCCACTTCTTCAAAGGATCTTTAATAGCAGATATCGGCATTTTTCAGAAGAAAACATTTATCGCCGATTTTCTTGATGTTCTTCATTCAAGAGTTCTTGGCGTTCTTCTGTCATCAGAACCATTTCAGGTTCCATTATGAACTCTTCGATGTTCTTTATTTCTCAGATGTGATTTTTGTTACTCCTTTAGCTGCTTGAGTCTTCTTGATTATACAGTATTTTTCTTAAATATGATTGAACTGCAGCCTACTGTACACCTGTTCACACCATATTGCCCAGCAACATTAGGCATCGTCTGCCCACTCTCTACCTTTGCTGTTATACTCTCACCTTTCGAAAAGAAAATCAGACACAAAACTTAACGAGTGCCCACCCGACAGTCTCGCGAATACACAAAAGAATTGTTTTGTCAGAAAAATAAAAGGCTGGAATTACAAGGGAGAGTTTCAAAGTTTGGAAGAATACTATCCAATCGGTATATACCGGCTTGAGTGTCGATGTTGACGTCTCCCACACTTTGAAAAGTTTCGAATTGTTGCCCGAAGACAAGGGAAGACCAATCAGTATTCATTATTTTACGTCGCTTCTTCTTGTGTTTGTTCTGTTCATTATCCAATCATGTGTTCATTGTCCGAACATAAAAATCTTTCGCAAAAGTGTTCGTTATCCGATTTGTCCGATCTTTCGTTAACCAATCACCCACTGTACAATAAAATATTGATATCAACTATCAGCTACAGCAATCTACTACAGTTTTACTCTTCTAACTTTAACTGTAGCAAATTCGTTAATTAGGGATGTGTAGTTTAGAGTGGCAGCTAATATAGATTCAATAGAAATAAATGATAGATTTCTAAGTTTTGTTTGGCATATTGAACTTCTTAAGTAGTGTTTTATTAATTTTAATTTGGAAAAACTTCTTTCCCCACTAGCTACAGAGACAGGGAGTGTTAATAAAACTCTGAGCTACAACAGTATTCGGATACAAAGTAATTAAGTTATTTTGGCACAAATTATTTAAAACATCCAAAGGTTTCATAGAATATGCTAGCATTCGGGATATATCACGCAATTCTTCTTGAAGATAATTTGCATTTATATCTGATTCATTTTCGACCGAAAGTATCAACTGGAGACTGGTACAATAATTTTCTAGCATTTTTTCATCTAAATCCTTGAGTTTGAAAATGTCATATAAAAACTGAAAATTTTTGCTACAGGTTTCCAGAAGCGTGAATTGTTCATTCAGAGAATTAACGGTAATGTCCAGAATATAATTGAAAAAGTTTATTTTAAATTTACTCTCTTCTGTTAAGGGTCATTGACAGCTTCTTCATAGTCAAATTTTTCCTTTTGGCTCTAACTTCAGTTTTGGCAGGAAATTCTGTACTGCATTCAAATTCCCTGCAATCTCATTAGCAGCAATTTTCATCTGATCATATCCAGATCGTCTATAACTTTTCACTTTTTGTATGGTTTCTGATAACATCCTTACACAATATGACAAATTTATAGTTACAGATTACAATAGCTTCGAGACTAAATTTATTTTAAATAAAATGTCATGCCAAAGAATTACACTGCATATAAACTTGTAATTTTTAATATTTTTTGCTAATCCTCTTGCTTTAACTTTAGTTTCTGCATCTCTGTTGACGTCTTCTATTATTTGGAATAATGCATCATAGATTTCGCAAAGTTGAAATTGCTGCTTGACCACCTAGTACAGGCATGACCAACATATGGTCTGTCTAATGAATTTATGTGGCCCGTGATTAATCTTTCAAAATTAGCTACTGAAGTTCGAATAGCTCGATGAAAAATTCTGATGCCTAAAAAATAAAAAGGTCAACAACTCACTGTGCGTTTAGAGTTAACCCTCCATTACAAATCTTTTAAGTACAGCGCAGAATGTTGATAAAGCATGATAATGTGAAAAATGTTTCTGTAATCTCTATGTACAATTTAGTCTCTATGGGGTGACACCACAATGAAATCTCGCACCACCTCAAAATCTTCTTAGGGCAGCCTCTGGTTCGCCCAGTGAAAAAAGTTTTCTTTCCAATTTAGCCTGGGGGCAAAAACTGTTGGCCACCTCTAACCTAGTAGCACTCAATGGTTTTAGAGTTAATTGTGAAACATATTTTTTAGCACTTCCCAACACTTTGTAGAACCAGATAAAAAGTGTAAAGTTCTTGTACAATAGAAAAAAAGTTATTGTTTCTGTAGAAGAAGACACTGCATCATTCACAACTAGGTTTAAAGAATGACATGCACAGGGCACATAAAATGCCCTTGGATATTTTTCAAGTATTCTATTTTGTACTGTACACCCTTTCTTACTCCTTTCATATTAGCTCCGTTGTCAGCCTTGTCCTCTAAGCCACTTTAACTCGAAACCTAACTTTTCTAAATGTGTCAGAATAAGTTTTGTCAAACCCTCTCCAGTTGAATCACAAGCTTCAAAATAACCAATAAAGAATTTTTCAATTTCATACTTATTCTGAATGGAGTTAAGAGCGACAACTCTTATTGTTAATGAGAGCTGTTCAATATGACTTACGTCTGGGGTACAATCGGTGATTATCGAAAAATATTTAGCGTTTTTTGTTATTTCGACAATTTTGCTTAAAATTTCATTTCCTATCAAATTTATCAATTCATCTTGTATATTATTGCTTAGATAAGTCACAGACCATTTATCAGACTCGCGTTGAACTTGTGTTGAACTATTGTTATTTTATCTACACTATTTTAATAGGGTAGATAAAATAACGATAGAAATGAGTTGCAAAGCTAGTAAGATTTGTAGGTAACAGAATATATATATATATAATTGAGATGGGTTGATAATAATAATAATAAGTGCAGAGCCCAAACGGTTAGGAGTTAAAAGTTGAAATTTGGTACACAGTTAGGGTATGTCATGAGAACGTACACTAAGAAGGGATTTTTCAAAATTCCCCCCATGGGGAAAGGGTGAGGGTTAAGGATTATCTTAAAGAACTTGGCTTTACTGTACTATTTTAGATGTGGTTTTTTTGTATTTTTGCAGAAAATCAAATATATTTTCAGACCATGTACAAATTCTTTAATTAATCTCAGAAGAGGGAGACCTAATTCTTGCACCCGGTGAAAACGGGTAAGATCGGCTATAATCTGATAATTTTAATCTTTGCTTTCATTACCTTTTGCTCAAGCAACGCTGGGCTCATCTGATAGTAAATAGGTAACGAACATCAGTCAAATTTACAGCTTGCAGTCGTTTTGACATATGCCTTTCCTTAACTTGTCATTGTATTGTCTCCACTTCAACATATATGAATTTAGTAAAAATAGAGCAAAACATAACAAACGCAAAAGTAAACAAATGCAAATATTTCCTAAGCAACTCTCTCTATCACACACAGAACGTAAAAGTAGTCCAATATTACCTAAATAACTCTCTTATCACACACAGGCACACGTTCTGCACCTGATATATAAGTCCATACAAATGCTCTTTTTTAATTCATGTCCCTATTGTCACAACATAATCCTTTTCAATGATAATTGTGGGAGCCGATGGGGGGAGAAATTTTTAAAAAAACGTAATTAACGATAATATGCGATATATATCGTTATTGTCTCCATTGCCGTCTGGACTGCCAAGCGGTAACAATCAATGTCATGTGCGAGCAGTTGAGCCAGAGATAGATGCCTTGTTTACAAACAACACAACCCGTTTATTAGACAATTTACTTACAAAAAGTTCATAGTCATGAAGGGTTTAAGTCCTTGTACACTTTGGCACATAGTCTTCAAAGAAAAAGAAAGTCCTATGATGAAGGTGGTTTCCTTTCGCTGACTGGATGTTGCATTCTAAGTCCAGTTGTAGAACTGGAAATGATGTCCGATGAATGCAGATCGTAATGTCGAAGTTTCTCTCAATGAAGGTCTATAACTTTCAGAGGATACATCAGCTAACGACAAAGGTGAAACCTTGCGAGAAGCATCCCAGCCAGGGACATAGCGGGATGCCACGACAAAGAATCAAGTATCCTTGTGGCCTGGGTTTAAATATCTTTTCGTCTCACAAATTGTCACTTTATTGGTTATTAATCCCCTTTCAGATTGGTCTTTCTCTGTTACCAGGTGAAATTAGATCACATCAGTTCCCGAGAAAGATGATTGTTTACGAATACAATTCGACATCGTCTTTCGTTCAGTGTTGAACAAACCTTGTACTTTAACTAACATTTACTTTTTTTGTTCGTCTGGTCTTATAAAAATTTAATTTACTAAATTTTCTCCCTTTTTTCGTGTGGTTTAACATTAAAATAATTTTATTTTTCTCATTTTCCTTTATAATTTAATTCCCTTAATTTAAATTCATCATGAAGATCGAGATTCGTTTTTGTTTTGATATATGGCTAAAAGAATGGTTTTCATCCCAGCCCAGGACCTCGTATAATAAGTAACTACAATTGCTGTAAAAAACAATAATTCTTTTACCTGATCTACTTTTTAAACGCAAAAACTGAACTAGTGTAAATGAAAAAATATTATACTGATACAGATATATATCTGATTTACTGATTTGAACACAGCACAGCCACTTGCTACTTCTTGAGACAAACTAATGTTAAAATCAAATATTGTCAACAATTTAAGCTCAAAGCAGAACTATCAACACGTTGCACATGCAATTGTCTTTTATGATAATTGCCACCTCAGCTTTTAGGAGCGGTCGCGTGGTATATTACAAACAAAAACAGTAGCTTTACGCAGTCATATCAAAAGCCTTTTGGAGAGTGTTTACCAACAATGCACCTGCTCCATAAACCGAAATCAAAGTGTACCGAAAGCATTTAGGCAGAGGCATGCGATAAATCGTAAATCATATACATTAATATCGAAATAACATAGACCAGTACAGAAAAGGGTTGCATAAAAATTTTTAATTATTGAATGATCCAAATATTTTCATTTCTCTGTTATGCCACCCCCTTATGGTGCCGTCTGATGCGGCTGCCTCTCTGCATCATAGCATGGCACGGCCCTGATGCCTTCTGCAAGTCAAAAGAAAAAGCAAAATATATACCTACCAGTGATTCAGGTAGGTATTTATAAAATAAACTCTTATTTTGATACATTTCCTTCTACTTTGCAGAAAGTGGACTTACACCACTTTCAAAGTAATTTATATTTGTAATTTCATTAGCTACATAAATTTATATTGACAAAATGATGAAAATTTTGAAGGACTTTTTTGGGGACTTGTTTACAGATAAAAAGCTCACAGCAAATTGCATTCATTGTTATCATTAACTAAGTTTTTGTCAAAAATGGACTTACATCACTTTCAAAGAAAACGGCTCATATATCCTTTGTACATATACAAATGTATATACAGTATATAAACAATGTTTTGGCACAACAGCATAATTCCCATTTGTTAAAATTTTTAGTAGAGAGCAGAAACCATCCAAAAAATCATATTCTGCAATAAAGCCAACACAGCATCAATATTAACAATGCCTTGGTAATACCATTTTACTAGATAATGTAGTGTCTTCGTTAACACTTCTTTAATACTTTTTATTGATGTGGTTTTTACATCACTTTTGGATGTCACTTATTACTATGTGGAAGTGTAATAAACATTTTTGAGATTATATTTTATTGTTTGACTCCATACTTTCTAGGATAGCCTGTATTTAATTATAATGATTTTTCATCATTTGTCTTCAGGTAAGTGATGATAACTCAATTTCACATCACACGCAATTCTATAAATATTGCTCAAAATGAAAGAAGGTTTTTCATTCTTAATCTGTGTATAAGTAAATAAATACTTTCTTACTGGACTGCACTATATAAATAAAATCAAAACCTTTAAATAATCCAGCAAATTGTTTTAATATCTTAAAAACGCTTTCGAACGCTCCAACTGAGGCTGAACGCTTAAAGCGTTCGAAAGCGTTTTTAAGATATTAAAACGATTTGCTGGATTATTTAAAGGTTTTGATTTTATTTATATCTGTGTATAAGTGACATACTTTACACACAAAAAAAAAATTGGCATGTTTAGTGCAACTTTTTGTTTCAATGACAGCAGAGAAAGTGTTAAGTAAAAGAGAAAAGTGCTGTAAAATTCAAGTGTGAGAAATTAAGTTATGCTCTTCTGCCAAAACTATCATTGAAATACACATAGACATTTTTATTTATAATACATATATAATATTCAGTATCAATACTGGTATAAGCTGGAATTAGTCAGTATCTACAGCAGTGATACCCAACCTTTTTTTCGTTACAGTACATTTTTAATAATTTAAAAATTTCGCAGCACACACGTTTACTTCAGTAAGTACTGCAGAACAACTGGTGACGTCATAATAGTGACTTTTAAACACTGTTTGTTATTTAAGTCACATTTTCTAAACATCTTGGTAACTAGTGGCAATTACAGGTAACACCGGTTACAATTTCCAAATGTTCCCTAGAAAGATAGAACCAATTGAACTACTTGTTTGACATCGCTTATGTGTGGGTATTCCCAGTGATGACACACTTAAAAAATCTCTCAGCACAGTGGTTGAGATTCACTAATCTAGACACAAAATACCTTATATAAAATGTATAAAATTCCAGCAATTTAAACTTTATGCTGCTGGAAAAGTACATAAGGTATTTTATGTGTCTCTAGATAATATTCAGTATTCAGAGGAGTAGAGAAAATAATTTTGATTATTTATATATAGAACAAGTGCTAGAATGAGTTAATGTAAAAAAACCCAATAAACAAATATAAGACAACTGATTATAAATTTTATAAAACTATCTGAAAGAACTTATATTAATATGTTAATATTAATATGCTTATATATATATATAAAAATATTGATTTCATATAAGTTTTTTCAGATGTTTCTATAAAATTTATAATCAGTTATCATATATAATTTGTTTATTTCTTTTTTACATTAAATCATTCTAGCACTTGTTCTATTGACTTTATTTAACATTATCTAATCATAATATCATACTTACACTGTTTTGTGTTGCACTACCCACATTTCTGGAGACATCTCGACTTGTAGAACTTGTAGCAACCTGTCTTCTTACATCAGCACTTGGCTGCCTAAAAGTTATTAAATATAGTTAATTATAATTTAAAATGATTCATTTGAATTTTAATAATTTACTGTTCTCTTGATAAAATTAATCCTACTCCATATAAAACAAAATCTTATAAAATGTACTGTACCTTCATTACATTATGAAAATAATAGAGTAAATTATATGCTGATTTTAAATTGCAATTATTAACTTGCACCTAAGAAGCAACAACTATTTTTATAAGTGTGAAAGATTATGCAAAACTTTTATTTTCATTCTAGCAATTTTCCACAGGGTATATACAATTACAAGTTATATGCTTGAAAATGTGGTATTTCCTGTATTTTCAGTTCAGTTTTAACTCTGTATAATTTCTGTGATTTTAAAATATTAGCTACAATGTAAATGAAAAAAAAAAAATATGACGTGAAAATATCTTCCTAAAAATGTTATTTTTAAACTTTCTTTTATTTTAGGCTAACGTTCTTATAAAAAAGACCAGTGGTTTCCAATTAGTTTTTCCTACGTACCACTTCAATAAAAAGCTAAAACTTGAAATCCATATTAATCCATACTAATATTATAAATTCGAAGGCAATTCTGTCTGTCTGTTATTTTTTCACGTCTAAACCGCTAAACAGGTTTTAAAAAAATTTGGCACAGATAGCTTACATGTTGGAGATGGACATAGGCTACATCTTACTGCGAGAAAATATCTTACTCCCACGAGAAAATTCGATATAATGCGGGCGAAGCCGTGGGTAGACAGCTAGTAATAAATAAAATACGTTTTTTTTACATTTATTACCTTTACAATTCTAATAATAATGAAAATAACATAAGGTTATTTAATTTTAATGCAACAAATGTGCACGATTTTCTTTGCACGACTTTGTAAAATCTGGTTGCTTTTTTGGTCAGCTTCAGTCTCAAGTCATCTTCGAGTCAAAGTCCGTGACGATGTTTAGTTTTCATGTTTGTCTCGGCCGAAAATCCGCTCTCGCAGAGGTATGTTGCGCAAAATGATAGTAAATATTTTATTGCCACTTCGCTGACATCATAAATTCTAACCCGATTTAGAAGCGAGATGTCGCAACTGATTATTAAACTCAGTGAAATCTCATTATACTCTGCAAGAAGTCGCGTTGTCACGTGCGAGTAGTAACAGCAACAAAAATTTTCAAAATTAATTTTGCGAAAACAAATTGTGTTAATTGTACAATTTTTGTTTCTCGCATAAGAATTTCATTTAGGTATTGTCACAAATGCATTTTTTTGATGAAATTTTGAGAATATTTTTACTTATAAATAAACGAATTTGTGCATTCGATATCGTGTTGTAAATTGCCAAATTTTTGATGGTCCATTCATTATTCTTTTGATTGCTTCATCTCATGCATTTAAATTTTAAATCAACCGATTTTAGATTGCCGCGCATACCCCTTCGAGCAATTTCGTGTACCCCCAGGGGTACGCGTACCACTAATTGGGAAATAGACACACTGAAATAGACTATGGCTGTATCATAGAAACAAAACTAAAACAGATCTAAATACAGAGCCAACAACTTTTTAAACAGAAATGTTTTCAAGAGCTGATCAAACAAATTTAAATTAAATAAATTAAGATTTGAAATTGAAACTATGTTAGGCAGTTTAAATTCAACAATGTTCTAATTTGATTAGCAATTATAAATAAATCAACAAACTATACATATAAAACATTAACTATCTTGCTTTATCAAATAAAAGATAATATAAGTTATAAAAATACAAATTCATTTATACTCATCACGATAACAATAACATTTGTAAACTATGTACAAAATTTCATATCACTATTTATCAATATAAACATTATGAAAAAATTATTTACAAGTTTATTTATTCAACTTTTACTTTGTTCAGAATAAAAACTAAACAAACAGAAAGCAGATAAGGCATGCTTATTTTCTGTTTGAATATCAAATATAAATAAATAAACAATAAATTAATCTCTAAACTAAAGCAATTTTATAAACTTCACGAATAACTCTTTAATACAATTTTTTAAAATATTTCCAATTCCATATATTGTTTTTAATAAAATTGATTAATAATAGACCTTATCATGCAATTGCTTGGATATATTAAATAATTTTAATTTGATGTTTTATAAAACAGTTTAAAGGATAATGCTTTATCCAGATACATTCAAACTAAACTACATTTTAATCTTGAACTTCAAAATAGAATTATGAAAAAAATATATATTGTACTAATCTAAATTTTGAATATTTAACAAAAAAAAAACAAAATAAAAAGAAAATTCTGATATTCTTTGCATTAATATTAATAAAAATATAAAAATAGTTAATTTAGGACTACGCATGATATGTAAATGATCAATATGGTTGCTTTCAGCACAAAAATTAATCAAATAACAGATGATAATATATAAATTATAAACTACTTTCAAACATATAAAATATAAATAGAATTTTAAAATTAACCAAAGAATAGGCTTTCTATCATCATTGTTTATTGAAAAAGTATCAAATAATACTTGAAATAATTCTACACTTATTGTATTAAATAAACTTTACATCAGATGGTACAATAAATTTTATATATTATCAAAATAATATTTTATTGATATAAGCTTCAATTCTTTTTTCTACTAGAACAGCTAAGAAATTGAATTTTCTGATATTTCTGCACAATTTATAAATAGATCTAAAAATTTATTAATCATATCATCTTGAAATTGGATTTTCAGATTTGCCTTTCTGTTTGATTAGATAATCAAATAGAAAGGCATAATCAAATAGCCTACTCATTTTAAAATAAAGTATATAATAAGTAATTGAAAATGTTATTTCAAGAATAAATTATTTAAAAGCATAAAAAATAAAAGATTTTAAAAAATTAAATAAATCGTTAATAAGTGAGAAAGAGAGAGAATATATTAGCATAATATTAATCAATAAATAAAAATATTCTAAAGCAATGGCTTTCGGATTTTTTGTTTGTCAGCCATTCCAAAACAGGAGTTAATTTAACAATCCTTTTTAAGTTGATACAAAGTAGGAATCAATTACAAATAAGATAAAATAAAGAATCAAATACAAATTAATAACATTATTTTTTTATTAAACATACATCAAAATTCAAAATTGTTTTTACTTGAATAAACTTTAAAAATAATATATAATAAAACTAAATAAATTATTTTTATTATATATTTATTATATTACGTAGTAAAAATAAACTCATCCACCAACTCCCAAATAATCCCTACTAATTTATTAACTTCCCATATAAATGAACATTAAGTTGTTAATTATATTAACAATTTATTAATTACATATTAATTAATTACATAATAATTTTTGAAAATATTCAAAAAATCAAATTTTGACATCTGAAAATAATTGCAATATTACAGAATTTTCAATTAATATATTGAAGTATGGGACGTGCAAACTTCATAACGTCGCCTGCAGAAGAGTCCAACTGGCTGGCCACGTTTTTCGTACAGAGAACAATAGGATCCCTAAGACACCCACGAAATGGGTTCCCTCCCCGGTGCCAAACGACCACGAGGACACCCCAGGAATACTTGGCATAGAACTTTTTTCAAGATTTGAATATGCTTAATATGACTTGGGAGGAACTGAAGGCCTCGCTCATGATTGAAATTGATGGAAGATAATTGCTGCTACCTAGCATTGGAGGAACTACTACTACTACTACTACATTGAAGTGTTATATAAATACATTATTTTAAAAAATTTAAAAATATATATTATATTCTATTTAACCAATAAAATAGCACTGTGTACTATTCAATCATAACTGAATAAAAAAAATATTTTGACATATTTACACTGTGATTGTAAATATGTGGTAAGAATACACACATTCAAGACATTTAGAGATTTAAATTTTGCATTATAATAATCTATATATACAGTATATTTGTGAATTTAAATCATGCATTTCATTTCCAATGATAACAAAAACATGTGTTTTAAAATATAAAATAAAAACTCAGAAATTATGTTAGTTATGATCTCAGTTAATTAAAATTGTGCAATCATTAAGTTTATGCTTAACATAAACAGAATTTAATTGTAATAAGGACCATTTATGTTTTGACATCACAATAAACAGTAACTGTACTTCCTATCTTGACTCGTGTGTTTATAATAGATACACACCGATTCTCTTGTTTACTTTCTTACGAAATTGTTAAAAGTGATATAAATTGTTTTTATTTAGTTTACACGAAACTTACTTTACTAATTTCTGGGCAAACGCTCTTTGGCCACTCGCCATTTCAGTCCTTGCTCCCTCCGATTAACAGTAACATGACAGTTAAATCGTCACGTGGTCTAAACGGAATATCTATAAAGTAAATGTTTGCATCATTCATATAGCATTAATTAATATTCATCAAGTATTTGTCATTTATAATAAACATTGATACATATATTTAAGGAAATAGTTTTATATGCGCTTTAGAAAATTAATGAAGTAAGCTAATATAAGCAGTTTGTTTTGACATTTCGTAATTACAATGGGGACCAAGACTCGGATTTTATGTCAAGTACGGTGCATTTAAAGTTTCGTGAAGAATAAATAGTGTAATGCAATTACTATATTTAAAGCTAAATTCATTTATTCAAAATGTAACGTAATGTTAAGCGTATGACCTAGTTTCGCGGCGCTACAATCGACAGATAACACGGTGATTAAAGAGTTTGATCTCTGTGTATTATTGTCTGTGATATATATGTCGTAGGTTAATTGGAAAATCCGGTTCATTGTAAAGAGTGCCGTCATTTTACAATGAGTCTGGCAAATTGAGAAAAATCATCTTGTATTTGAGATTCGGCCTGACATTTCTTAGGCGTGTTGCAATCATTCCACAGAGCTTTAGACAATTAAAAAAGTGAACTCTGTTTAATTAGCCTGATAGATTCTAGGCTTATTGTAATGTGACTTCTTTACAGCGATAGCATAACGCCTCTTTCCCCTTTCTGTGTTAGTACAATTGGTCATGGCTTCAAACGCGCTTTGAAAACATGACTTAGCCCAGGTTTCCAATGCGCATCTAACAGTGGTAGTTCCTTTATTGAGTTAACATTTATTAGAATTGTTTTCTTAGGTAGTGTACAAAATTTCAAGATTTTCTGTAATGTTTCTGAACACTTCAATTGCTTATATTTCGGCAACTGCATTACAGAAAATATTGAAATTTTTCACACTACCTAAGAAAACAATTTTCTTTCGAACGAGGTATTCGGAATTACTTCAGGTGTTTGGGGGCGGAGAAATCGACCTTCGAAAATCGGCAACTTTGATTCCTATATATATAGTCAGCCAGTCAGTAACTTTTTTACTTAATATAAGCAAAAATGCAAAAATTGCCAAAAATTCTGTATTTTCTTCATTCGCCCTATCGCCATTATTTTTAAATAAATCAAATTCGTAAAATCTTTCTCTATTTAAAAGAATGTTAAAGACTATTTTATATTAGTAAAACTATCATTAATTTTATAGCAGTAAGAACCACTACGAGCCCTCACTTTTCTCCGGGCCCGGGGGAGAGAGTTCCCAGCTTTGGTCTTCGTTCAGTTTCGTCGAAAAATTCGGAAGATATTTTTACATTTCCGTCAGCATTAATTAGCAATATTTTTGTGTATATATCTTTCTGGTGTAATTCTGTAAATATCGTACACTTTTCCTAATCTAATTTAGCGTAAAATCTATTTCCGAAACACTAACATTCCTTCTATTTTTCTTAACAGAAAAAAATGTTTGCAAAGTTGAAAAATTGGACCAGATTCGCCTCTACTAGACATTCAGAAGCTAGATTTAAGTTATTGCATGTATCGTCTAGAGCAGCGATTCCCAACTGGCGGATACGCGAAAAAAACTAATAATGGCGGATGTACCGGTACTGTACTATGAGAACATTCGGATTCTGCGTTGAGGCCTGCAACATGACAGCGCTCGATGCGTTTTATATTCATCTGTGTCCTTTAACGCTTTTCGATAAAAAAAATGTTTTACTTACAATTATACAGCGCTATATAATTGACCAAGAGCCACTGTTTGACGAACATACAAAATAAAACTTAGAGAAAATGGGTTACCAAGGGGTGCGCAAGTCAAAAAAGGTTAAGATCCGCTGGTCTAGTGTACAGAAAAATGACGGCAGTTTGACGTCATATTCATGCTTCCCAAAGCTTCGCGTAGCGTGGTTAATCCACTTGAGCATCGAAATCTCAATTGACCATTCCTGGTAATCAGGGGCGTGCCGTGACATTTGACTATAGGGAAGCTGTGTTTCTGTAAGAAGCCGACATCCAGGGGCAATCAGTCAATTGCGCGTTAGTGATGTTCTAGGGTCCATTCGTATCGTTTATTCGATAAGCCAGTAAAAACCGTAGACTTCTCTCAATGCATTTTTAATATCACAATTACATTCCGAATCGCTAGCCACGATATAAGGGCTACAATTAAAAATAAAATAATAAAAACTTACTCGGTGAAATAAAATATGTGGTGGATGTACCGGTACATACAAAATATTCTTCAATTATATGAATATACTTTAAAGAAAATTATAATTAAATATAGCTTTGCAAAGAAACGTACATAAAAATATAAAATATTCTTTACTTTTTAAATCTTAAAACAATGCACTTAGTCAAGTAGCTCCCTACGAGTGGCTAATGAATGGAATCGAAGACGGTTGCAGAGCGTGCATGCACGCACTGCCAAATCCCCAGGGTGCCGATACCGGTCAATTCAAATACCTCTTTTGTCGCATCATTAGTATATCTGAAAGGACGCGACAGGGCTGTTGTAGATTTTAAACGTTTCTCACCATAGCTGTAAAAATCTAAATACTCGTATGTTAAACATAATAGTCATTTGTTTTCTAACTAATTCGTTTTAGGACCAGGTGTTGTCCACGGAAATTTCCAAAATTTACAACTTTTCGGTCACTCTCGTCGAACTGGAAAAATTTCTGTCTTTATTACATCTAATACAGTATTTCGAAGAAATCAGTCCCCACTGTAC